ACTTTTGTTATTGAGGTGTTTCAGCTAAATTCTCAAATGTAAAGGGTTAAAAGTAATACTCTAAATATTAATAATAATATTAATAAGGAAGGACAATTCAGTCAAAACCCCTCCGATAATATTTTATTCCTCCCAACCAAACATATTAATTATTTATACTCATTAATTTAACAAAACATATCAATATAACATCGTTAATCTTCAAGATAATCTATCTTAGTAGTAATAATATATTTTTATTAATAAAAAATTCATCGAATCAAACACTGGGTTAGAGTTGTTTTTGGCAAATGAATATTGGCAAAGTTGATCTAATAATTTTTTAATAAGAATAATGCTAGACATACAAAAGGGTGAGTTCGTTTCCTTATTTTTGCCCTGTCTTATTCTTATCATTTCTAAAATACACATTTGTTTCCCTATTTTGAAAATACTATTATATTTTATTCAATTATTTTTAAACTCCTAAGTTTGTTAATTTAACTAAACCAAAAAAAAAAAAAAAAGGTGTTTAGAAATTGACAAAAACACTTCTACCCACCCATATTTGCCAGATTCCAGCCACTAGGGGTGAAAAAAAAAATCCGAAAACCGAATCGGACCGAAAATTCGGTTTTTTTGGGGTTTCGATTTGGTTTTATAAAAAAACCGAATATTCGGTTTGGTTTCGGTTTTTGGTTAAATGAATTCTGGTTACCCGGAAACCGGTTTTTGAACCGAATTTTTAAACAAATTTGAAATTATGCATTTTGGGTTTTTGACTTTGGAATCCCTAGGTAAGAGTGTAAGACCCTAACTGGCTAACTCTCAGTCACTCAGTCTCTCACTCTCACACTCTCTCTCAGAGACTCTCTCTCAAACTCTTTGTTCTCACTTCTCATGCGGTCAAGCCTCACTGCCTCAGGCCCTCAACCACACAAAATCACAAATTTCTCAGTTCTCACGTCGCCGATCTTTGCTCACCAGACGGCAGACATCGTCACACCACTCCACCAGGCAGTTGCAGACTTGCAGTCACCACTCTCCATATTAGTAAACGGTCCCGTATACACAGTGGAAACAAAAATTAATATAACAGGATCGTTTACATGAGTCAAGATCAAGGGTATAATTTTACAATTCATATTAAAGCAAGAATCTGCAAAAATTAATAATCTGTGTTTAGAAACCATACGCACGTTTGGAGGCTCCACCACGATTGTCTTTGAACGTTTTGCTACCGATCCAAGTGTAGGATCGAACCCACGTAGTCCACACGAAGACAATCTCAAAAGAACCAAAGAGGTATTTGCTAGATTCCTTTTTTGGCTTCAAGATTAAGAAGAAAAAAAAATCAAATTATTGATTTAGGCCAAAGAAAGGTTTTTGCGTGGAGTGTCAAATGGGGGCTGTGTGTTTTTTTTTAACAAAAAAACTCCCTCTCATTTATTAATAACACACTTTCTTTTTATAGTAAAACAATTTGCCCTAATCCCATACGGATAGGCTTGGGCTTCAACTCAAACGCCCCATGTTGCCAAACACTTCCAATTTGATTTATTTATTTTCCATCATTATCTCAATTAAATCAATAAATATATATATATAATATATTATAATATATATATATATAATATATATATATATATATATATATATATATATATGTGCGAACACACATTTAAACGTAATTTCACTTATTTAATTTTCTAAAAAATTAAATAAAGGCTACGACCTCAGCAAATTTAATTGCACTGTGAAATTACCAAAATACCCTTTCACCTTAAAGACGAAAATGTCATTCTTTCTTCTTGGATCTTAAATTGTCTTCTATATGTGTGACCATAGGCTCCTCATCATATCGACAGTGTATAGTATCGCGATTAACACCAATTAATCGTCTCACTAATACACAGACCAATATTAGCCCCTAGCAAGGCATCATGCCACCCGATAGATTCAGATTCAGCAAAGTAGCTACCTGTCACGATATGGTTACCGTGCAATCGATCATTTCATCATACGTTATCTCGACGAGACAAAGGATAGAAATAGTGTCAACCTTTGGTTACTCTCGATATTATTTATTCAGTTTCTGGACCAATGATCCGTATTATAAACTGGATAGAGCAACAACTCAATTCCTGTGGCCACAATTTTAGTGTCATTGTCATTACTGAATTGCGCCATGAATAACTTTCTCCCATACCCGGGAGTGATGAATCCTCTGTCAATCCACCATAGTCTTGTAACACTCCTTGATGCAGCCAATCACCACCGTATGAGCAGCTCTGAAAAGAACGCGTTAGGCTATGTCAAACTACACCAATCGATGCACAAGGCGCTCCGGTGATCTCAAGTCTAAGGATCACATGCACCACCATTCGTTAGAGGATTTGTTCTCGACACTGAGGTTACCACATCCATATGGAATCCCTGGTGGTCAGTCCAGTGAACTTGCTGCGGTATATCCGCCTACAACAAGCACCCATGTGTTGCACCAGGTTGTCACCAAACAACCTTGACAAGTGAGATCAGTCACTGCCTTTCGACAGGGTCGTTCAACACTATGATAGCCTTACCGTATTATCTGTGCCCTTACTTCAGAATAATACTGGGGCTACGGACGTTTCTAGAATGGCCACCATATGTGCTCATAGGGTTCTCACTATCAAGATTTGAAACACTTGATACCCTCGTCATGGTTCTACCATTCTAAGGACACATATCAATACATATTGCAATAATAATGATTTACGCGATATAGAATAAAATGTCTTTTATTGATTAATGAACATTATTACAAAGAGTCAATTCTACAATAATTGATTGGCTCTAGGGCATCAACTCTAACACACCATTCTTCTTTCTCTCAGTCACCGAAAAACTCACCAGCCACCGATCTTTGCTCACAGACGGTAGACAGCAGACACTAGGAAGCCGCAGTTGCAGATTTGCAGTCACCAACTCACCATTCTTCTTTCTCTCAGTCACCAAAAAGCTCACCAGTCAGTGCAGTCATCGATCTTTGCTCACTAGACGGCAGACACCAGGCAGTCGCAGTTGCAGACTTGCAGTCACAGACTTGCAGTCACCAACTCACCATTCTTCTTTCTCTCAGTCACCGAAATGCCATCATGGGCCACTACGACCACCACTGGAAGGAGATGACCCTCTCTTGAGGGTAGATTTTATTAGAGAGGTTGATGCATTGCTAAAAGAGGTAGAGCTGGCGCAAAGTGAAGCACGAAATTCTCAAGGGTTTGATCCCGAATCTGTTGCAGTTAGGTTGAAGCAACGAACCATACACCAAGTTGAAGCTTTATTAGACCTCGCCCTTCATTTGAAGTGGTAATCATCGCCTTTCGTATAGAACCCTATATCTGCATTTTGTTAATCTCCACTTAGGTCTACAGAACAGTTCTGTTGGATTTTTTATTTATTTTTTTAAATTTATTTCTAGAGTTTTGTGTTGTAAATATCCTAGGAATGTGATAAAACTTGTTTGTTAGGATAATTACTTCGTTGAATTATATGCGACAATATTTTGAGCTTTTCAGTCTCCTCTGTCATGGCACTATTGAATTGTTCTTGTATCTGCAAAGCTATTAAGCGGAAAAACAGGAATTATAACTCTTTCATCGAGAGAAACAGGATGCCGAACTTCATATGATAAGAAAAGTTGAATACTGCTACACTTTAGAGGTAAAACATGGAAATGATTTATTGGGTGATATTTCAACATTTTCTTAATGAAAATAACAAATTGATAATGGCCTTATTAAAATGAATTCAAATTGTTCAAGTGTAAAAAAAAAACCTGGAAAAATAAAAAAAAAAATGGGCCAAATGGAGGGTTTGACAGAATTGGGCCGAAAAAATCTTGAAATCCAACCCATTATAATTAATTGGTTTGAAACCGGTCAACCGAACCGAATTTTCGGTTCGGTTATAAACCGGTTTATAATCGAAATCGGACCGGTTTCGGTTCAATTTTATTTAGAAACCGAAAACCGGTTTGGTTCAAACTACCTGTTAACCGGTTTTTTCCACCCCTACCAGCCACTATCGTCGGAAGGCGGCCAAAATTTGGTATAATGGCCCACTACCGGCTGGATCTGGCCGGTAGTGCACTGATCTAGCCTTTTCCGACTAGATCTATAGTAGATCTGGCTGAAAAAAACCAGATCTATGGCCAAAGACGACTAGATCTTTGGCTGTAGCTAGTCATCAACGACGACCAAGATATGGATGTCGTTGACGACCAAATGCTGCTAGATTTGACCATCAATGGCTGTATATAGCCGTAGATTTGACATTTTTAGACCAGATCCATGGTGGATCTAGCTAGAAAAAGCCATATCGACTCACGAACAGCTGGATCTGGTCGGTCGTGCGTCGATACGGCGACTCCGGCCACCCTACGGCTGCGGTGGCGGCTGGTATTTAGTGGGTGGGTGGGGGTATTTTTGTTAATTTTTAATATTTTATTATAAGGGTGTTTAGTAAATTAACAAACCTAGAGGATGTTTTTGTTAATTTTTAAATTCTACCTCGTAATAACTACCCAATTTTTACTTTTTCAAAAATACTAAAGCAAATGCACCCAAAGATTTATGTACAAAGTGATGTGGCAGGAAATGAATAGAAGAGTTGATTTTAATTTATTTTCTGTCACATGCCTTGTATAAAAATCTTTACAAGATTTATTTATATATTTTTTGTTACGTGCCTTTGTACAAATTTTTTTCTAATATTTGTGTATACGTTTACCATTATTGTTTTAATAAATAATAATAAACAATATGCCGGATGAGACTCAAAGTAAACATATATAAATTTGATAAAATCTTCAACGACTTAAAATGTTGACTGGGATGGTGTTAGGAGAAGTGAGTGAGATTGCGGTAATGATGTAAGATGCTAATAGAAGCCAAGAAATGATCCAGATTCGCATATGAAGCCTGTCAATATGTACCTCTCAGATATCCGTTCTGGTCCCTAAAGAAAACAAAATCAAATTCGCAACTTGGAAAACGCCGACTAGCTCCAAGCTCTCACCCACAAACTCAAACAAAGAGTCAATGCAAACGTGTGGATCTCTTGACTCACCTCACATTATTTAACTTCTGTTCTTCATCTTCGCTAAGATGTTCGCCATAGCCACAGAGAGTTTCCCGAATCCGGCGGATCTCCACATTACTTCAACAGTCATCCCTAACTGTTCAAAATTCCCCCAAACATCATGTCTCTAACAATTAAAATACACGTCACCGCGAACTTTGGTCTCAATCTCCAAACAGTTAGACAGAAAAAATTCGCAAACTATAACGTTAGAGTTCGACCGAGACCAATTTATTCTTCAAACCCATTGACCGTTTATCAACCCAAAATGAGTACGGATTCAGTTTCGGTTAAGTCTGCATCTTCTGTGATCAAGAGCTCTTTGATCGAGCCAGATGGTGGGGTATTGGTGGATCTGGTGGTGCCGGAGAATGAGCGTGGACCCAAGACGATAGAAGCTGAATCAATGCCGAAAGTGAATCTGACGAAGATCGACTTGGAGTGGGCTCACGTGATTAGTGAAGGATGGGCAAGTCCTTTAAGAGGGTTCATGAGGGAAAATGAGTATTTGCAGAGTTTGCATTTCAATTCAGTAAAATTGGGAGATGGGAATATAGTAAACATGTCGCTTCCCATTGTTTTGGCTATCGATGATGAGACTAAAGACCGAATTGGGTCGTCAACCAATGTTGGGTTGGTTGGTCCTAGTGGAGACTTGATCGGAATTCTTCGCAGGTCAGTTTGGCCAATCACTATATTTGTTAATGCATGAAAATGAAAACATCAATAAGTATTAATTCAATCATTCAGTCAGTATTTTTCTATAGTTTCTTAGTTTTGGATTGTTTCCTAAATTCTAACTTCCATTGCAGCATTGAAATATATAAGCATAACAAAGAAGAAAGAATTGCTAGAACTTGGGGAACAACCGCACCGGGATTGCCATACGTTGAGGAAGTTATTACTCCAGCTGGAAATTGGCTCATTGGTGGGGATCTTGAAGTGTTACAGCCCATTAAATATAACGATGGCCTTGATCACTATAGGCTATCTCCTAAAAAACTCCGGAAAGAATTTGATAGCCGTCAAGCTGATGCAGTTTTTGCTTTTCAATTGAGGAATCCTGTGCATAATGGGCATGCTTTATTGATGAATGATACACGCAGGCGACTTTTGGAGATGGGTTACAAGAATCCAATTTTGTTACTTCATCCTTTAGGAGGTTTCACAAAGGCTGATGATGTGCCGTTGGATGTTCGAATGGAACAACACAGTGAGGTATTTGCACTAAATTCAATTATATACATATTTGACATTGAGTTGATTTGGAATTGCTTTAATGGAACAACAAACTGGTGGAACTCCGTAAAATTAATACAACTCTGTGTTTGTGTTTATTGCAGATGTCAGGTATGTCTTACTATTTTAATTGTATAGCATTGGAAACAATCAACAAATCAACTTGTTGTCTTAATAACTCATGATCCTAATTTACTTATAATTTGAGCGGCAACATCACATTATACTGTAAACTGCATGTTTCAGGTGCTAAATTATCAAAATTATTAACGTCATTGTCATGTCCAAGGTGACTAATCTATCAAAATTATTACCTTTTTTTTTTTTAATATCTGCAGGTACTAGCAGCCGGAGTCCTTGACCCTGAGACTACAATTGTGGCCATATTTCCGTCACCAATGCATTATGCAGGCCCAACTGAAGTTCAATGGCATGCCAAGGCTCGTATCAATGCAGGTGCTAATTTCTATATTGTCGGTCGTGATCCTGCTGGAATGGGTCATCCAACAGAGAAAAGAGATTTATATGATCCTGATCATGGGAAGCAGGTGCTAAGCATGGCCCCTGGTCTGGAGAAGCTAAATATTTTGCCATTCAGGGTAAGTATCATTCTATACTGCTGTTAGCCCTGATTAACAAATATTTGTTGCTTCTTGTCACTGCAAGCTGTTGCTGTATATTATATACTTCTATTTGCAATTTTATTATTTGTCATATGAAACTGCAGTAAATGTTTAGTTTGAATGTGTCAAGTTGACTCTATGGTTTAATATGATTTGGAAAAAAAAAAAAAAAAATCTAGTTGGCTTCTCATCTACCGTAAGCTTCAAAATTTGATTTTGCTAATGATTTTTGAATATTTGAATTCACTGGTTGAGATAGTATTGCATTTTCTGTAGATTTTATCAAAATTTTACTTTACTCAGCTAAGCATTGCTGATAACTGTGCTATCTCCGATCTCTTTCTAAAACTTAGGAGCTTGTGGAAAACGGCTAAGGCTCCACATTTGTAATTTTATATGATGCAAAAATTCAAAAACATTAAATGTATCATCATATGTTATGTCAACGCCTTATATGTAATATAGGGTAGACAGGATTCTGGTCGGATATGAATTTTACAATCCTGAGAGTTTCTTGTGTTTTCCCTGCATTGTCTTTAACCTTCTTTCTTATTCTGCAGGTTGCTGCATATGACACAGTGGCACAGAAAATGGCATTTTTCGATCCTTCACGTGCAAAAGATTTCCTCTTCATCTCTGGAACCAAGGTGAGAAAAGTATTTAATGACCAATTTTCTGAAAATAGCTCATTTCATGTCACACTGTGTAGATAGAAAAAGATGTTGGTTTAATCTAGTGCTTTCCTTAGTGTCCTATATGATATCTTAGCACTTCTGGAAAAAGTATTCTATCATGCATGCAGTTTTTGGGTGGCTGCACTAGTAAAATTTTCAGCCCTGGTGTTAAGTTTGCACTGTCCTATGTGAAGGTGTTCTAGCATAAACTGGAGATATTGCCCTGACCTGTATTGTTTTTAATCTGGAAATGACTGAATGTAAAATTCATGAAACTGATGTTAAGTTTATTCTAGTTAATTCAATGTGTTAATAATTTGGTGTTTAATTTTTATTCCTTTACATAAACATCACCTTTTACTTAATGTTTTTGAAAGCTGAAAGAGTTAATCTTTTACATTTTGCTATCAAATAAAGTTATTTGGTGGTTTTAATTTCCTGAACTTGATTTGGTGGACTTGTTTGGTTTTCCAGATGCGAACATATGCGAGGACCGGAGAGAATCCTCCTGATGGTTTTATGTGCCCTGGAGGATGGAAAGTCCTTGTCAAATATTATGAAAGTTTGCAAGCAGAAGACGCAACACAGCAGCCGGCTATTTTAACATCTTAAATCTATAATGTAATATCTGAGGTTTTGATGAGTAAATTCAAGTAATAGAAGGGATTTAAGTGGAGCATTTTCAAGCAAGTCTTAGCAGCTACCATATTATAATCCGGCTTGTGCAAGTAAATACTTTAGTATTCTTATTTTCGTAATTTCTTTGACCCCTCCCGGTATTTCGGGTTTATCTTTCAACTAAATTATATTTGATATGCCTGTAATACATAGTGTTATTAATTCCTTGAAACTTATACAAAATAAATCATATTCTGGCTTGTTTTCTGAAAGTAATGGTTAATCCATGGGATTTTTTCTTGGTATTCATTATCAGGCCGCCATTGCAAAGGATTAGACCCAGAAGCAATCGGCCAATCCATTGGATCCTAAGACTTGATGGGCCTATCTGTAGTTGGACATAACGTTACCATAACAATGTGTGAACTGTGAACTGCTAATTTTGAAAAACGAGGCAAATAGCCACCTTGATTAAAGATTTAACCAACTGAATTAAATTGGCTCGCATGTGGTAGATGTATTAATATTAATGAATCCATGATGACTTGTAAATTGGGTGAAAGTTATGACAATAAATGACCTTCAATTCTAGCCGTTCTACTCTCATGCTTTCTATTTCAACTGGGTTTCTTTCTCCCATCCTTTCAGAAATGTTCCATATGAAAGGGCCTGTAATTGCACTGAATCACAGGCCAACACCCCTCAAAAAAAAAAAAAAAAAAAAAAATTCTGGTAAGCTAAGAGTAACACTTCACAGCCTAGAATCATAAAAATGTGTGTATGGTTTCTTATGGGACCAACAGTTATTTTTGAGTAAAAAATACTGCTCCCCCATTTATGCAAATAGTTCACATAACAAAGCCAGGACCAGTTTCTCCTTTGATGGTTNGTGAAAGTTATGACAATAAATGACCTTCAATTCTAGCCGTTCTACTCTCATGCTTTCTATTTCAACTGGGTTTCTTTCTCCCATCCTTTCAGAAATGTTCCATATGAAAGGGCCTGTAATTGCACTGAATCACAGGCCAACACCCCTCAAAAAAAAAAAAAAAAAATTCTGGTAAGCTAAGAGTAACACTTCACAGCCTAGAATCATAAAAATGTGTGTATGGTTTTTTATGGGACCAACAGTTATTTTTGAGTAAAAAATACTGCTCCCCCATTTATGCAAATAGTTCACATAGCAAAACCAGGACCAGTTTCTCCTTTGATGGTTTGAGGCAGCATTTTCTTTCATTATCAGGCTCATTCGTGTCAGGCTTGCTTCCAATGGATGAATAACCATTATTTATTAACCAAAGCTGAAAAATTAAACCATGAGGTACTTGTTATTTGTTTTCACTCACCTGTGTAACTGTGTTCCCATTTGGGAGCGTGGTTGAAGCATCTAAATCTCTTTGCACATCATCTCTCAAGAGTTACGTGTTCATTATAGAAAGTATGTAGTGACGATCTGGCTTGCTGGTTATGATCGATGAGCCATAAGAATAACTGAAACGCGGAAAGTTTGGTTATTGTGAACCAGGCAACAAATCATCCACCCTGGCTTGGACCCTCCAAGACAGCAACACCAAAACATCATGCATTTGTGTTTTAGATCAAATCAATTAGACATTAATGTTTTCTTCTTCATGTTATACAGTACATGTGCCATTGAAATGGTCATAGTACGTCCGTAAGTCCTTGGTGCTCCGGATTAAGGGCTTAGCTGTAATGGGGGCCATTGCACTTCAATATTTCCATCACTTATTGCTATCAGTTTCAATTCTTCTGATCAAGTTTTTATGTGGCTTTAAAGTTTCACATTTAAGGTTCATCATCAAATAGAAATAGCCAATAGGTCAATGGGCTATAGCAACAATACGTGTATGCCCAGCAAAAGCAAAACTCAATTCCATGATGAGATAGTTTTAGACAAATGTTAGCACAGGAACTTTTCGATCTTTAACAGCTTATGTTGTCCAAGACTTGTCTTCTTCTTTCATGCGTTTTCGTGATGGGTGTCTTTTCAATTCAATGCAATTGACAGCCATGAAATGGTGATAAATAAACTCATTGAAAACACATTTTGTCAACGTGGTTGGATTTATGTAGCGCAGGTAGAGTGAAGTAAAGATTAAAGAGCAACAAATCTTCATAAAAGATCCATAGAAGTGGGTTAAGGTTTTGAATTACGTAGAGGTGAATTAGCTAAACAGTTGAGTTGGGTTGCCTGACATTGATGTCCTGAAAATAAGTTATTGGGGTTGGGGGCAAAGGTACGTGGCCTTCATGTGCTTAACATAGTGAAGTAATATAGCCTAGCAAGAAAGTAGAAAATCTGAATTTCTTGATTAGGTTTGGTTATGATACTCACTGCCTTTCGGTGGAAATAATGGACCCACTGTCATATTTTGCTCTGTTTTTATCCTCAATATATTCACCAACCAATATCATTCACAGAACATGGGTGTCTTCGTTTTCATGACTGTGACCCATGGCCCAGTTCTCCCTCATTTCACCTTCAACCATGAACCTTTTTTTCTTTTTTTTTTTTTTGTTACGTAAAAGACTCATAACTGGATTCTGACTACTCAAACTTCAAAACCCAGGTAAAATTATGTATTAGTTTAGCATATTCTTGACAACAACTTGATCGAATTTCATGTTAGGCATATTAAGTACAAGAGTAATGCTACACTAACAACCTCTTTCTCACAAACTTCTCTCACAACCTTGACGTAACAACTTGTAATTGATTAGTTGTAATTTATCAAGAGAGATCCATTACGAGTTAACTAATTACGAGCTATCACGTCGGGATTGTGAGAGAAAATTTATGAGAAGAGGTTGTGGGTGTAACATTTTTCTAAGTGAGTAATACTATACTCACGACCTCTTTCTCACAAATTTCTCTCACAATCTCAACGTAGCAGTTTGCAATTTATCATGTGAGACTCATGATGAGTTAATTAATTACAAACTATTAAATCGAGGTTGTAAAAAAAAATTTGTGAGAAGAGGTTGTGAGTATATCATTTTCCTTCAAAATATAAATGGATATTTGACCGTCAGATTAATGTACTATAATGGTACATTAGGATTATAGAATTAAAAGGAACAAGATAACTGAGGACAGGGCGGACGGAACCGTATTAAGGTCGCGTCAGGTAAATTGCGTAAAAAGAGTGGCTCTTTCTGGGCCTTTGAACATGGGCAAGACCTACTCTGCATCATTAATAGCTGGAAGAAACAGAAATGTGGTTCTCGTTTGATATGGAATCTATATCTGAAGATGACAAATGTGTCTATTTTACTAGTACTAGTTGTACTAACAGAAGGACCACACTTTTGGTCCTTTAAAATTTAAAGAGAACAATTAATTCCAATATATCAAACAGGTGTCCAACGGCAACACGAAGCTCAGTTCTTAATCTTCCTTTGGTTTCTTGCTGATCTTTGTTGGTTTTATATTAACTGATTAACCAAGTTCACGAAAACCTGAAAAAAGGATCTGGGATTGATCGTTTCTTCAAAGTCTCTTAAACCTTTATGCCTGTCATGTGGGCCAATCACAGGATTTGTATAAGATACTAAAGTGAAGAGATAATAATTCTCTTTTGAAGATAATCTGAAAGGTAAAAAGAAAAAGGGAAGAGCTAGCCTCAGAACTGCTGCAACTGCTGAGGCCATTAATGTTAAGCACTGAACATTGTGGTGGTCCATTCGGGGGCCTCTCTTCTCAAGATTACTGTATGAAGATTCTTTCACTTTTGACAGTCTTCAGTACCAACAAAGTATGGTGGTCTATGTCAAATGGAGGATAGCTTATGATTATTATAACCAAACACCAACAGAGAAACTCTTTCTGCTACTTTCACCTTTTTTTTCCTATTTTATTCTTCATATACCCATCATTCTGGAAAGTCAAATATCATGCTCAAAAAGTAACAGTCCTTATGATAAACTTAGTGATATAAAACTTTTCCGCATTATGTGGTAACATTATGATAAAGCAACTGGGGGTTGGCTAAATTTTATTGCTTATTATTTTTACTGAATCAATTCACATCTTGTCGACACAACTGTAGTGTATACGTCTAGTCCAGAAAAGGATCAATCCTATGGGTAAATTCCTGTGTCTCGTGGAGCCACATGAGTCCATGTGGGCAGGGCATCAGTGATCAAACCACATAAATTTCACCTAGAAAAACTATATAATCAACTAAACTTTCTCAACCAAAAGAGTAAATGAAAAGCATAATTGGTGGGGGCATCAAACGAAACTTGGATGCAGCATCACTGCACTTTAAATCAGTCAATTAATTGACCCACAGGCCACCAGAAGCTACGCTTTGGTAGAGCTACTACTTAATCCCCGAATTATGGACCAGAAGAGAAGAAGATAACCGAAGGAATTAAAGATTACACATTTCAAATTTGGTGGATGCCTAAATATCTTAGAGTGCAAGATATCATTAAATGTTTTCAATTTCTAATTCTTCTCTTAATTTCGATTTGGTCCCGTTTAGGGAATTGTTTGTAGCGAGATAAACTCAATAGAGGAATTATCTAAGAGATCATGAATTCGATTCACCTCAATTGCTAATAAGAATAACTACAAGAGGTTTATCCAACCGTTAACTTCGGGAGTCAAGAGCCCGAGAATTAGTTGAGATGTGATTTGATCATCTTTCAAAAACTTTTAAATATGGTTATTATTCCGTTGGTATTCATGGAGAGATATTAATGAAAGTAGTTATGAAAAATGAAAAAAAAAAAAAAGTAGTATTGCGTTGGGAGTTTGCAAAGTTGGAACAAGGAAATGGAAGAATGTGTCAAAACAACCCATAAAGAGGGAACAGAGTATTGAAACTGTAAATTAGAATTTCAACAGAACAAGACTGAGTAGTATTATAGTAATAAAATGCAGTGGCGTAACTTGATCAAACATTGTTACTACAGGACTAGCTAGTTTATTCACGAGATTAAGAAAACTGGTGGATGGTTGTATTTGGAAAATACGTACTTTTATTTTATCTTTATTTCTCAATCAGAAAAGTCTAAAAGAAGAAGAAAATGAGAAGTAAATACATGTATTAGGAAACATGGGAAATGGGAAGGATGGCCTTTCAATTTCAGAGAGAAAAAAGAGCTTGAAATTGAAGGCTAAGAGAGGGACCCGGGTGTCCTTAAGAAGGGCAACAGAGGGGTGTCAAGCCAATGGGATTGGCACCCAACATGTCCTTTCGGGTTAACACACACCCCAAAGACACCCAAGGCTCTGTCCTTTGCCCCCACAATCCCATGACTTTGTTTCTGTCACTACGACTCGGGCTCACCATAAATACACTTACGCATTCCTCCAATCCATTCACACCTATTCCAACTTTCATTTTCTTCTCTCAATTCTTCAAAACTCTTTCCTCTACACCCTTTATTATACTTCAAAATTCCAAATATGGCTATCAGGAAATCAAACAAATTGTCTCAGACAGCTGTTATCAAGCAAATTCTCAAGAGGTGCTCGAGCTTGGGAAAGAAACAAAGCTACGATGAACAAGGCCTTCCTTTGGATGTCCCAAAAGGTCATTTTGTTGTCTATGTTGGAGAAAACAGAAGCAGATACATTGTCCCTATATCTTTCTTGACTCGTCCTGAGTTTCAAACCTTGCTTCACCAAGCTGAAGAAGAATTTGGGTTTAATCATGATATGGGTTTGACCATTCCATGTGAAGAAGACGTTTTTCAGTCATTAACATCAATGCTCATGAGATGAGATAGATGATGATCCTAAAGGCTGCTACTTGCTCGCTTCTTGTTCGTTTTTGGAGAGAAACCGGCTAAAGATGAAAGCTGCTTCATTGCTTCTCTTTCTGATTTTCTCTTTTATTATTATTAATTGTTATTATTATTGGGTTTTCCTTTTGACTCTAACCCAACGAAGAAACCCATCTGTATTATCAGGGTTTAGATTTGTAAATCTCATCAAATTCTAAAATTTTCCTCACTGTGGTGTGGTGTTGTAATTACACCAAATTTACCCTGTGGGAGATCTAATATCATCAATTAAGTTTAAGTTTTCTTCTCTTCTCTTCTTTTTACTGATTTTGTTTTTAATCAATGTGCATGCGTGCTTCACACAAGCACGGTCACAGACACAAGCTCAACTTTTTCAGGCTTTTGTCTGTCAGGAAGAAAGAGATCGCCTTTTTTAATGTTTCTGGTTAACTCATATATCAATAGTTTAGCCCTTCAAAACTGTTCAAAACCTACCTAACCAGACAATTAACCAAACAGAATGTTTCAATCAGAAACGAGGGAAAATAATTTTATAAATTTGTTGCAGAACTCATGCTTGTTTGATTTGGTATCCAAAAAGTGCTCTGATGCATGCTTGCCCATTTTATAAAATCATCAAGGCCTGGACTGGACTGAGCTGGAGGAGTCTTCATCATTTTATATCTTCCAGTCTTCCACTGCGTAATTCAACTCATGAAATGATGGATTTGGTTGCTTAATGGCGTTGATGAATTAATTAAGATAATGAAGAATTCAAAAGTAAACACACTTTTACTAGATTAGATCTACCGATCAATCAACATCCATTAGGATTTAGGACCCATGTGACAGGGGCCCACTCTAGGAAATCTCGTATATCCTGCTCTTGGATTGACTCTGGTCAATTCATAATCACAAACCTTAAGTGATAGTCCAAAAATCCAACGGCTCCGATTGCACTCCAACTTGGCTTCTTGGGTATCTGCCGTGAAATAAATAATCTTCACAATTTCACTGTGGGCATGCATGCAGTCCGCCACTAAACGATGGATGGTTATGATATTTTTATATCTTTAAAGATTCAAGAAAGGATGATTATCATGATCTATCCTGTTGCAGCGTTTAGAAATAGTAACAGTACACAGTGGTCCATCGTCTTCCATTGTAGAGTGGACCCAAGAACCGTACTGACCGGACACTTTTAAAAACCCTAGAATTCTAGGGTTTTATGAATTATATAATAACTTCACCAACTGTTAGCTTTTCTCGTAGAAAGAAAAACTCTGCCATAAAGTGATACCGAGACTTTGCTTTGTCCAAGAAATGCAAATGGCCGTTGAATGATCCAACTGCTAACAATTTCGGAATTTCCTTCTCTCTCTCTCTCTCTCTCTCTCTCTCTCTCTCTCTATATATATATATAACGATTGTTTGTTTATTGTATTAAGAATAGATAAAGCCAGAGAATTTAAGGAACGCAGGAGCTGAAGAACATGGCTCTAGAACTAGGGAAATGGCTAGCCTAACCTGCAGTAAGATAATATACAATAATAATTTCTATGAACTTGTTCGTTCAGTGATTTAACCCTTTTAGCTTTAAAAAATAATATTTATGTAACTTAACCAATCAGAGGCAAAGATTGGCGCTGGTTTTGTTGGTTTGGAAGGTAAACCCTAGGTTGGAGTTGGATGGTTGTTTGATGAATTGGTTACTTTGACAAGATGGCCTATATAACCTATCTCTTCAAATGAAATAAATTATGCCGATAATTTGGCCTCTTTTTAAGTAGCGGGTCACTTTCCTATTCTCTGTATCCAAGTTAAAACTTGTTTTATCATTTCCATGGATCAAATCAAACCTTTTCATTTATGAAAATATAATATAATAATTGGACGATGCACCTAGGTGACTTGTAATGTGATATTACCCACTCCCTAATTGATAAGATTTTGTGTGTGATTGGGTAGAATTCTCATTCGAAAACTTATTTATCAAGGGAGAGGATGCTTAAACTCTTATAAACCACATGTCTATCCCTTTTTCCTTTTAATGTAGATCCTAATATTTTCACACATTTCTAGACCAACAAGGGTTCGAGACCCAACACCCTCGTTGTCTTTGTTCTAGAGAGCGTCCGCCCTCATCAGCCTTTATTGTCCTCCATTCGAATCTTACTTCACCTAGAAACCTGTCAAGGACTCTTCTTCTCGACCCCTCGGGGGGCCCATTGGGCTCTGTTGCGTGGGCTCGGAAGGTGAGCCTAATTTGATAGGAACACACTCTCTAATTAATAGGAATTAGGTTGGACGGTGGTTTTTTTGTAGATTTGAGTAGAACTCTCATTTGAAAACCAGCTTATCAAGGGAGGATGTCCAAACCCTTATAAATCACATGTCCACCCCTTTTCTCGGGATCCTAACCTAATGTAATGTTGTTCTTTTTTTAATATACGACGAGTTGGTTTGATTGACGGGTTAAATTCGGTTTGGGTTAAGAGCTGGGGAGAAGTTGGATCAAGAATATTTATGAAGTAAAGGGACCACCCGCAGTTGAAAATTGAAATGAAGACAAAGTTAATTCACATGTTGAATAGTATGATCTTCCGAAGATTGTATGCTGTGACCTTTCAAATCTGTTTTAAGCTAGAAAAGGTTAGATTTAAAACTCAATGACTTACCACTAAACCTGTGTGCTTAATATATTAATCCACGTATACGTCTTTTCAATGCCTTTTTCTTGCTTCTCCTTAGAGAGGTTCATTTCTTCTATGTCTTTTCAACGTCCTTTCCCTGCTAATTCATGCACGTCCAACAGAAATGGTAGATATATTATATTCTGTCTCCAATTCAAATTCAATTATCAATTATAACCATTGGATAGTTTCAGGATTTTTCAGAGTTGTAAAAATGGTGTAGGCCAGGCCACTTAGTTGGATTAGATACAATTTTTTAATTCATTCCCAACCACAAGGTCATAAAAAGATTATGAGCTAGATTTCATGAACACTGAATTTCAAAGTAGTACTGATTAAACTTAATATTTACACATATTTGGTGCAGTTGTTAAGCACCTAAAAAACAAACCTAGCATCATGCCAAGACCTTCAGCTAATTAAAAGAAGAAGTAACCAAATAGGAACCAAGAANGGTCACTTTCCTATTCTCTGTATCCAAGTTAAAACTTGTTTTATCATTTCCATGGATCAAATCAAACCTTTTCATTTATGAAAATATAATATAATAATGTAATATTAATTCGACGACACATTCAGGTGACTTAACAGAATGTGATAAAACCACTCCCTAATTGATAGGATTTGGTGTGCCGAGTGCCGACTGGGTATAATTCTCTTTCGAAAACCAATTCATTAAGCCAGGGTGTCCAAACCCTTATAAATCACATATCCACCCCCTTTTTCTTTCAATGTGGATCCTAACATTCTCACATGTTTCGAGACCAACGAAGGTTTTAGACCCAACACCCTCGTTGTCTTCTTTCTAGAGAGTGTCTGCCTTCATTAGCCTTTACTATCCTCCATTCGGATCTTATTTCACCTAGAAGTCTGCTCCTTCTCGACCCTTGGGGGGGCTCATTGAGCCCTGCTGCATGGGGGCATGCTCTGACACCATTTGAAACCCTCGAGAGGTCCACTGGGCCCTACTGTTTGGGCTTACTCTGATATTATTTGATAGGAACACACTCTCTAATTGATAAGAATTGGGTTGAACGGTGGTTTTTTTGTAGATTTGGATAGAACTCTCATTTGAAAACCAGCTTGTCAGGGGAGGATGTCCAAAGTCCAAACCCTTATAAAGCACATGTCTAACCCTTTTCTCGGGATCCTAACCTAATGTAATGTTGTTCTTCTTTTAATATATGACAAGTTGGTTTGATTGACGGGTTAAATTCGGTTTGGGTTAAGATTTGGGAAGAAGTTGGATCAAGAATATTTATGAAGTAAAGGGACCACCCGCAGTTGAAAATTGAAATGAAGACAAAGTTAATTCACATGTTGAATAGTATGATCTTCTGAAGATTGTATGCTGTGACCTTTCAAATCTGTTTTAAGCTAGAAAAGGTTAGATTTAAAACTTAATGACTTACCACTAAACCTGTGTGCTTAATATATTAATCCACGTATACGTCTTTTCAATGCCTTTTTCTTGCTTCTCCTTAGAGAGGTTCATTTCTTCTATGTCTTTTCAACGTCCTTTCCCTGCTAATTCATGCACGTCCAACAGAAATGGTAGATATATTATATTCTGTCTCCAATTCAAATTCAATTATCAATTATAACCATTGGATAGTTTCAGGATTTTTCAGAGTTGTAAAAATGGTGTAGGCCAGGCCACTTAGTTGGATTAGATACAATTTTTTAATTCATTCCCAACCACAAGGTCATAAAAAGATTATGAGCTAGATTTCATGAACACTGAATTTCAAAGTAGTACTGATTAAACTTAATATTTACACATATTTGGTGCAGTTGTTAAGCACCTAAAAAACAAACCTAGCATCATGCCAAGACCTTCAGCTAATTAAAAGAAGAAGTAACCAAATAGGAACCAAGAAGGGAACGGGTGGGAATCTGGATAGTTCAGCTTCAGCAACAGGGAGGCAGGCATGTGATTGTATCAAATCAAGTTGTTAAGATGTCAACATTGTGTTATCTAAACTAGATAGCGTAGCATAATTGAACAAGGCAAAATAGCTTAATCAAGGTGTCGGCTGAGCGATAAACTCTCCTCTGATTTCTAATCATGAATTGGGAACTTCGGGGCATAAAGAAGAAAGCAAAACCAATTCTCGAAATTAACTTCTTATAATAGAAAGACGTAACAAAAAAGTCTCTCTATGTTCAATCAATGGCCGGAAGTACAAGAAAAAATTAACTCACCTTAATCCTCATTACAATTTTATGAGCTGAATTATTGGATTAAGTTACAATTAAATGCTGGGAATCCGTTATTCATGGACATTGCTTACAGAAACGGCATCCTCTCTGGAACTGGAACTATACCATTTTCTACTGTGATAAATATAAGTTTTCAAATAGCAGTAAAAAAAGGAAATTTCCTAGTAGAATAAGGTAGATTCTGACCCTTCTAAGAGGACAAGAAAACTCTCACATGATGATCAGCTGATTAGAAGGAGAGATGTGACCCACCTTCTCCCTCAATTATCAAAATTCAAAATGGAAAAAAATAAAAATAAAAAAATGTTTTCAATTAATATATATATATATATATATCGAAACTTCAAAACCAAAATTTATAACTGTTTGAAATGTATAATGGAGCTAGGACA